AGGAGTTCACCAATACATAAATTCAAAATNACGAGAAAAGAAAGGGGAGGGGGGAAGGGAATCGAACAGCAACAAAATGAAAGAGTGAAAGAGGAAGAAAGAGGATAAGGGAGGGCGTGGGGGTAGGTGAGAGTTTTAACCTTTTTCAAATTTTTCTTTTTGTTTTTCCTTTTAATTTACTTTCTTTTCTGAATTTAATATTTTTTTAATCAAAATTGTTATATTCACGAGCGTTTGTATCGTGGTTTGCACGTATTTGAGCCACATCATTTAAGTCGTTGCCACATAAGCATGGTCAATGGTCAATGGTGTTTATTAGTACTCATTCCGTCAAGTACAAGTGTTCAAATGGAAAACTTATAAGTTTATCTACCGAGCTGACAAATGGATACAAAAGTTTAAGTGGCCCGGAGGCCATTTTGCCAAAAAATAACCGTTGCTGTCTATAAAAAAAAATTGTTGCCAAATTTAATGCTTAAATATTTAAATGATTATTTTAAAAAAAGACCCACTTAGGGCCCCCGTCCCGTCCCATCCTGTTTGTTAGTGGGATGGGATGGGATGGGCCTACCGGGTCGTCCCGTTTAAGGCCCATCCCGTCATCGTCCCGGTCAAAGTCCGTTCCGTCCCGATAATTTCGTTCCGTCTCGTCCCGTTGGATAGCTATATTGGTAACAGAGGGAGATCATTGCTTTGCTGAATCTATCAAACCAAGTTCTCGGGGATTGCTTCGGTCCGCATAAGGCTTTCTTCAATCTGCAAACCTTTCCTTGACTTTCTGCAGTATCAAATTCTGGAGGAATCTCCATATACACCTCTTCTTCTAAGTCTCCATGAAGAAATGCATTTTTCACATCAAATTGTTGCAAGTCCCAAGCAAGATTAGCTGCACAAGACAAAAGAATTCTAATAGTGTTCATTTTAGCAATAGGGGCAAATGTCTCTTGATAATCCATTCCATAAGTCTGAGTGAATCCCTTAGCCACCAATCTTACTTTGTATCTTTCAATTGAGCCATCAGCTTTGTGTTTCACAGTGAAGACCGATTTGCAGCCAACCAATTTCTTGTCTGGTGGTGAAGTGACAAGTTCCCAAATCTCATTTTTTGAGATGACCTTCATTTCTTCAATCATAGCTTGCTACCATTTAGGATTTGCAAAAGCTTACCTCCAATTCTGGGAATAGACACAGAAGAAATTGACAAGGCAAAGGCTCTATAGGAGGGAGACAAAGAATTATTGGAGACAAAATTAGATAAAGGGTGTTTGGTGATGCAAGATATGACTCCTTTTCTGTGAGCAATAGGCGCATCTAGCTCATTAGGAAATGTAGATAACTCACCAGTAGAAGAAGGTTCAGCTTCGGTAGATTGCATGATGGTGTTTTCTGCTCTATTTCTCCTTTGAGTAAGTTTTCAAATCAGGCTTATCCAAAAGCCCAATAGTCTCTCCTGAATTCTTTCTCCAATTTCACTTTTCCCTATGACAATTAGGGCTGCTTATCGGGCGGATTGGACGGTTAATTACTCTTAACGGTTTGGCTTAACGGTTATCGGCTTTTAAATGTATTAATTCGCTAGCCACCCGATAAGATATCGGGCGGATTGGTATCGGTTTAGCTCTTATCGGGCGGTTTATCGGCCTAATTAAATCTATATTGCGTGCATTAATTGTTTGTTGACCGCCTAGCATACAAATTCATAATAGGAAATTACACATTGAGTCCCGACAAACATGTTTGCTAACGCCTACATAAGAATGATGTAGTGTGTCATGTGTTGTAGAGTGAAAAAAGTAGAACACATTGTAGGCTAGATTACATCCCAAAGCAGACTACATATGAGTCCAGACATACATGTATGTTAACGCCTACCATTAAATCCCAAAGCAGACTACATTACATGAGTCCAGACATACATATGTCTGTTAACGCCTAGCATACAAATTCAGAATAGGAAATTCCAGTCTATATTCAAAGTGAGTCCAGGATACATATTTCAAAATGATTAATCCATAAGTGAGCAGAATACACAGAAATGTTTGGCCTGCAGCTAANTATATATATTCTTAACGGGTTAACGGATTATCCGTTAAGAAAATTGAATAATCCGCCCCCAAACCGATAAGCCGTTAATAAAAAAATTTCAATCCGTTCCCCGTCCGTTAAACCGTTAACCCGATACCAATAAGCCATTAAGCTTCGATTTCGGTTCGGTTTTCGATTTCGGTTCGATTTTGAACACCCCTAATGACAATGTCATCAAGAGGTCCAGTAATGGAATTAGGTAGAATCATGTTGAGCGCTTCGCCTCGCTTTGTGGGCGCTTCAGTATTGCATCAAGGCTCTAGGGCATACTTTTCCTTGCCATCGAGTGTAATCCTGAAAAGGCGACACTAAATAATTGATATTTCACTTTATCGTAATTTGTTTTTCAATTTCTTTGTCCATATATTTGTTATTCATGCTTATAATTATTGGTCTTAGACTACATATACATATTTTTACTCTTTCTCTAGTTGTGCCTTTTTTCATTAAAGCCCACGCTTTATTTGCGCTTGAAGCCCCAATGGATCTTGGAGCTTTTTTGCACTTTTCGCGTTTAATAACACTGCCCCTGAAGAGGTGATGAGGTAATACTGTAATAAGACTCAGATTCTCAAAAGGTAACATCCATGCTAACAAAAGATCTCCTAGAGGAAGGGTGATTACATTTGTAACCTTTCTGTGTCGCAGAATACCCAATGAAAACACACTTTATAGCTCTAGGATCAAGTTTCCCAGAATTTTTAGCGTGGACAAAGCAAACACACCCAAACACCGTTGGAGGAACAATATATTTGTTCTTACTCTTTAAAGCTTCCAAAGGACTTTGAAAATTGAGAGGTTAAGTGGCATTTTGTTGATAAGATAGGCAGCCGCTAGAATAGCATCCCCAGTAAGGTTTTGGTAGATGCATGGTGAACATAAGAGATTTTGCTACTTCTAACAAATGCCTATTTTTTCTTTCAATGACCCCATTTTGTGCACTAGTGTAAGGACAACTAGTCTGATGGACTATTCTATTAGACTCCAAATAAGCACCAAATCGTTTATCCATGTATTCGTTGCCATTGTCAGTTCTCAAGAATTTTATTTTGGCATCAAATTGAGTACAAATCATATTTTGAAATGACTGAAAACAAGAGAAAACTCCACTTTTGACTTTTAACAAATATATCTAAGTCATCCTAGTGCAACAATCAATGAAAGTAACAAACCATCGAGGAATCAACTACCAGACAAAAAAACAGTTTGGTAGGAGCCCATACATCAGAATGAATAGTCATAAATGGAGTTGTCCTTCTATTATCACTCATATAATAAGAGTTTCTAGTATGCTTGGCATATTGCACACGCATCACAGAACAAAGATTTAAATCGAGTCCTTGAAAACAAATCGGGATATAACTTCTTCAAAACGAAGAATGATGGGTGTCCTAACTGTCTATGACGTTGTATTATTTCTTGGTTGACATCCTTAAAAGGAAGCCCGGTGCACTAAGCTCCCGCTATGTGCGGGGTCCGGGGAAGGGCCGGACCACAAAGGTCTATTATACGCAGTTTTACCTTGCATTTCTGCAAGAGGCTGTTTCCACAAGGGTCTATTGGTTGACATCCTTACTTTCCCCAAAAAAGGTTTAACCAGAGTTTTGAATTCCATCTAATATATACAAGTCATCACGTAATCTACCACTGCCAATCTTTTTTCCTGTTTGAAGATCCTGAAAAATACAATGATCGGGAAAGAACTCGATTTTACAGTTTAGGATTTGGTGATGGCACTAACAAATAAAATATTGACAGGGAACTCAGGGACATGGAGCACGGATGATAATTTAATATTAGGAGTACAAACAACAGAACTTGTTCCAGAGATAGGTGTTAAAGAACCATTGGCTATTTTAACATTATCTCCTTTGAGATACGGAGAATAGTTTTGAATGCCTTTAGAAGAGCATGTCATGTGTCTCTTTGCACCAGAATCAACAATCCAAGAATTAAGGTGAGCAGCAAAGGCGGTACCTGATTGCACATGATTGGATATGGCACCATTAGCGGAGTCAAGTTTGGCTAGGAGGCGACGGATAAACTAAAATTTCATCCGAAGACAAGATTTTCCAGAAACCATTTCCTTGAATGTCTCCATATTTTTGCCCATTTAGGATGAAATCTTAAGAAAATTGCTCAAAAATAATCTGCCTTGCTGGAAACCAAATATGTCTCGACGGAACCTTAACTCCGATGAACGAAAAAATCAAAACTGGTAGGGATAGGCTCGGAATGTTCTAGCGACCCCAATAAAAAAGAAAAGTCCAAAAACAAACTTGACCAGAAGGAGTTTGTGTTGAGGGCAGCCACCAAGAAAGAAAACTCGACCTCGTTGATAAAAACAGAACCCTAGTGATGTGAGGGAGATAACTCACCTCAAAAAGGCAGCAATAACTCTGATACCATGTAGATTTTGAGAAGAAGAAAAGGCTTCTTATATTTCTGTATGTGTTTACATCCCATGAGCAAGGGAATTTGTACAAAGCTCCTAATGCTAACTAAGAAATAAAATAAATCTATATAATCAATCAAGCTATCAAATCAAATCAAATCAAATCATATATCCTAAATATAATCAAATCTCCTTGGATCATGCTAATCAACAATCTCCTAAATCAAATCTCCTTGGATCATGCTAATCAAAAGTTTCTAAGTTGAGGGTGAATCTGAGTTTATAGTTCCTTTCAGAGTCCTGTTGTAATATTCTGTAATGTGTGTCTTTATCCATCTTTTCATGTAGTATCATAATCTCTGTTACTTGTTTAATATACAAGGTTTGCATCAAGTTTAAATCCACTGGGACTCTGTCAATTTGTGAACACAGTTTAGATTGCTTGAAACCTCTTTCTTCAACAAAATGCAATTAAGCTCATTCTGCTGTGTCTGACTTATTAATTTTACTTATGCTTCAGGTGTTAAGTAACCGAGGTTATAACGGTGCTGCTGTTGATGTATGGTCCTGTGGTGTCATCCTTTTTGTCTTAATGTCGAGATATCTTCCATTTGATGAAATAGACCTTCCTACCTTGTTTTCAAAGGTAGATGCCGTCTTGCATATGTAATGAGATAAATGGTTCATAAATGTATTATGTGAAGTTATTTTGCTTTATGCTTTACACAGCGGGAAGATTCTAACGGGGTTTTAAGGGATTATATTAGGGGCAATTGTTGTTTTGTTTCATATGGATAAGTCTGAGGATTCTAGGTTCTTCCTCTAGAGAACTCCTACTTGTTTTGATAGACAAATTATAGAGTATGGTTACATATAACTGAACTCAACTAGTTTTGATATAAGGCATAATTGTTGTACTGAGGGCTACAGGTTGTAACATATATAGTCTTCTTGTCATTTTCTTATTCAGTTCTTTGACCTCTATCAAGCATCAACTGCTAAGATTAGTTGAGAATTGTGAAGGGTAAGCTCTATGTGATTAAGTGAGTCTCGAGGACTGGCTTTGCCTAGTGATTATGGTTTAATGACTTTCAGTTTGTGTCTACATGAGTCACTTACTTACTTCTTTGTTTATTACTTGCTATTTATCTGTTACCCACTCCGTCCGATTTATGTGACGGTGTTGACTAGACATGGAGTTTAAGGAACAAACGAGACTTTGACACTTAAGCTAAATATCTGTAAATTATCAATACTTCACTTGCTACCAACAATTAAATGAGAGATGATAAGGGCTCAACGTGTCCTTTTATCTTTCTCTCTCCTAATGGAAAATCAGTTTTTATTCAGGTAGGTCCTAACATGTAATGTCAATAAGGGCGAGTTAGAAGTATTATCATTTAGGGGTTGTTTGGTTTGTGGGATAAGGATATTTAATCCTGGTATAAACTTCGGTATTACTTATACCACATTTGGTTTCCATTATAAAACTTTGCATTAGTAATATAATATCTGTATAGCTAATACACTTTTGGTTTCTGGCATTAATCTCCGAATGAGTTATGGGAAGGTTAATATTGGAAACCAAACGCCGTCTTACTAGCATAACAACAACAACAACATACCCAGTATTATCCCACACTGTGGGGTCTGGGGAGTGTAGTGTGTACGCAGACCTTACCCCTACCTTGTGAGGATAGAGAGGTTGTTTTCAATAGACCCTCGGCTCAGGAAAGCATAAGCACCGCATTAATGAAAATATAGACAAGAAGGGACGTCTTACTAGCATAAGTGTAACTTATATGTGAATCTGTATCATTTTATATGGGATAGAAGGAATACATGTAATAGCAATATATAAGAATATCTGAAGGCATAATGCCTTTAAAGTGATAATCCTTACATAACAATCCCCGCATTATTATTCACCATATAACAATCCATGCATTATTATTCACCATATAACAATCCATGCATTATTACTGTTACATAAAATGGGATAGAGGAAATATAATTTATTCATTTGTATTCTTCTTTTAGTTATTTTCATTTCAAGCATTTTAAAATTTTATGTAGTTGCGGATCTGAAAATTTTCGCTGCTTCCTCATTATTCTGAGCATTGCTTTTGTGCTCCATGAAATTTCTAATTGGCTTTTCTATTGTTGCAGATCAATGCAGCTGATTTCTCCTGTCCTTCTTGGTTTTCTTCTGGTGCAGTGTCATTGATAAGAAAAATTCTTGACCCAAATCCTGATACTGTGAGTGTAGAGATCACCATTCCATCTTATAGCTATGGTATCGCAATGCTTCTTTGTCGCTCAGAAGAAACTTGAAGATGGTAGGCCACCTAGAATGAAGATCTCCCCCTGCACTACAGACATGCTGTTTACGTAGCATAATAAAAAGATTCTCGAAATTTTGTCCGGAGTAATGCGTCCTTCTTATTGCGTTTTGATGAACCATTGGCTAGACTTCATCTTTTGTCCAATCAAAAAAAGTTAAAAATGACCCACAATTTATGGACGCCTTAAATACTAAATCCAGCAAGAAGCTTTAGCTAGATGGAGATGGTTTGATTGTTAGAGATGCATTTCGTGTCTATCATACTACGCTTCTTTCAATTCTTTGTCCTCCTTATGTTTTCAGCTTGTTATCAAACGTGCTAAAGCTTGACTCTATATTGTTCTTTCTGATCTCTTTAGGGAAATGAAATTAAATTATTACTGTGACTTGTGAAGGATAGATCTCTGAAGAAGTTTACCATGGTTCAAATGTTATGTTAATGCTCAAATATGTCTTTCTCGATCCAGTAACCTATTTCCAGACCACTCTACTATCGATCACTCACAAATCTGAATTGCTGAGGACAAAGCGAAAGTTCCCCTTTCTTCCCCAAGCAAACTTGTGGTGGTCACCCCTTTCTGCCGCTTCCTTCTGCTCTTTTTTTCCCACCTAAACCTTTGTTCATTTTCTACCAAAGCTATATCACATGCTTTAAATGATGCTCACTGTTATGCTTATTAAAGTTAGCAAACTAAGTACAGAACGCCCCCACTTGAAGTGAAACAGAATGTTTGTCATATCCAAGTTATTTTTATCAAGAGGAGAAGATATGCAGTTAATGGACATGATTGATTGAATGAAACAATTAGGATGTTGTGATACAGAAAAATGAAATGCTGTCAAAAGATACTGCAAACTTGCTTAGCTGCTTTCTGCCTGGATAATCTATGAAAATGTAATACATATGGAGGGTGAATTTTCTTCTTAAAATCGTTAATCACTTATGCAACACATCACTCTTTTGACGGGGCAAAGCTCTTTTTCCTAGTAATGTACACATGAATTGTTTGAGTTTAGTTGCTCGTCTTTACTTTAAGCTTGCCGATACGTTACCTTCTCAAACCAAAAAAAAAAAAAAAAAAT